TCACGCCAAGCAAAATCGGCCATCCAAAATCAAAAAAACGACTTCAAACAACGTTAAACAAAATACATAATTTAAGAAATCGAGATCGGGTAGACTATTACGCCGTTGAAAATAAATATGATGATCCACAGCTGGGCTTTGGAAAAAGAAAACTTCAGCAACACAAGCGCTTAAAGTGGTTAGTTATTTAAGAATAGCAGGCATGGCGGGGTGCATACCAGTCAGCCTGAACTTTGGAGAGGGTATGAAGCTGACCTTTATTTCATCATGCTGTGCTGGGGATAAAGATTCGGAAGACTCAAACGTCAGTAAAGACAATAGCTTTGGTCAAAACAAAAACAAAGTTGACGTCAGTGTCCAAGTTGACCTAACTAAAGATGGGAGAAGCGGAGTACGTGAGTGCGGCGCAAGTGGCAAGCCTGGGGGGAGTGGAACGATTCCGGAAGCATCAAACCGTGTCAAGCGAACTTAATCAGCATGACAAAGCCCTAAAGCTTCTGCAAGGAATTGACGCCTACAATTTACATAAGCCGTCTCGGCGGAAATTCCGCAGAAATCCGGTAGTTTCAATACAGTTCGGTGAACAATACATGGCTGACCTGATGGATGTGTCCCGTTACGCAAAGCAGAATAAACATAAAAAATTTCTGCTGGTTGTTGTGGACAGTTTTTCCAAAAAAGTAGCATGCGAAATGCTGACAAAAAAAAGCAGTGAATACGTTCTTCCTGCCCTGGAGAAAGCCTTTTCTCGTTTGTATGGACCACCTATGTATTTACAAGTGGATAGAGGTACTACACACACACACACATAGGATGGAACCGTCGTAAGCGTCGCAAACTAACTGTATTATTCGTTCACAGGGCGTGAATTTTACAACAAACCAGTTCAAGACTACATGAAACAGAACGGCGTCGTTATGTTTTCTGAAGAGAACTGTGAAATTAAAGCTAACATGGCAGAACGATTCATCCGAACGTTACGAGAGCGTCTCATGCGACTGATGACCGCTCGTGATGGGAGTGTAAAATATTATGACAAGTTACAGGACATTATTCACAGCTACAACAGCACACCTCACACGGCGCATGGATTGGCGCCGAATGACGTCAATCGAGAAAATTCGCTTTTAGTGTTTCAGCGATTACAGTCCAACAGTAATAACAAAAGCAAAGCTAAGGTACCGCTATTTAAGGACGGAGACACAGTGCGTCTTCGTTTGCAAAAGCAGCTTTTTAAGAAAGGCGCTGATGTGAAGTACACAAAAAAGCTATATCGAGTGAATAAGGTAATCAAGCATCGCGTACCTGTGTATGAAGTGGAACCTGCCGACGGTGGACCCAGTGTAATTGGAAAGTTTTATGAGCAAGAGCTATCAAAAGTAGCTGACGGAAATGGCTAGTGTTGTTGGAAACAGTACACCGTTTTACGTAACATTACCAAGCGATGCGTCAATGGACATGTATCCCAAGAACAGTGCGCAAATGTGGAAGACTAAACTAAAAATTCCAATTTCCTTATCGGGCCGGTGGGAAGTGGGTTTGGTGGAATTGCAATATACAAACTCAATCTACAACATACCAAAAGAGCAAGAACTAACTGTTAACGAGTACGATGTCATCAGTGACACTTCCTTGTCATCGGTTCAGAATACGATCATCATTCCACCGGGTCTATATACATTGAAGGCGCTAATTGACGTAATTGAGCGACAGTCGCCAAACTCGGTAGACTTAAAAGGTCGCAATGTTACTCCCTCACGCCTTCGCACAAATAACAGTACCACAAAGGTGTTCAATATACGTTATAATCCTGTAACGCTCAAGACGGAAGTAACGTTTAATAGCTTGCGTGGCAAGCTGCGTTTTTCCGAAAACGATGACCGATTGAAAGGGTTACTTGGTTTTGTGCAGACTCAACACGATATAGACCCTTTAGACTTTAAAGATCTTGACGGTGTTCCTTCAAAATTTCGTTACTATATTGAAGAAATGATAGAAGAAGATGGGACGCCAGCTGAACCGTTCGGAAGAGCTCCTAGTAGTACTTTTTTTACTCCTCGACCTTATCTATGGTACCTACTTAAAAGAAAACAACCGCTGAATGCTGATACGTTGGACGTACCAATGGTGGTAGCGTCCAGTAAATCTGCCAACATGCAACATAACAACACAACAATGTATGTTTATTCGGACATTGTGGAGTTTTCAGCGTTAGGCGATCAAACCGCACAAGTTTTACGTTCTATGCCTATTAAAGGAGAACCGTTTGATCTCATAACGGAACGATTCGACCAACCACATTATGTACCACTAGTACGTAATTTCATCGAAACCATCGAAATCAACTTGAGCTCCGAAGACGAAGATTTTAAATTTCAGGCGGGAAAATCATTAGTGAAACTGCATTTTAGGCCTGTTCGTTGAAACGTTATAGCTCTAGCTGTTATCATGGCTGCGCCCCATAACCTTGTGCTCTTTGAACCTGATTCAAGTCTATTTGAGGAGCTGTTTGAACAGAATCAGATTGGTTATGGTCCATTAGGCAGATATCGGAGTTCAGGTCTACAAAGCGGTTCAGGCTTAGCAGACTTTTTCCGAACAGTGTTTTCGCGCGTCTCCAAATTCACCGCACCGCTCGTTCGAAGCGCTCTACCCCATGCTAGAGCAGCATTAGAGTCAGCAAAACCTCACTTGAAGCAAGCCGCTCAAAGTGTAGCCACCAGTGCTGCGGAAAAGGTGACTGAAAAGCTAGGGAAAATATTGGAGCCAGCTCAGCCTTCAGACGCAGCAGTAACCTCTACTGAAGCCCCTCAACTCGTGACTGTTAAACAGCAAACTGGTAGCGGAAGTAAACGCAAACGCCCTACTAAACATTCAAAAAGAGAAAAAACACGAAACGACGAAAGCACCGTACTAGTAACGGTTCTTTTGATAAGTATCCCGATATTTTCTAAAAAAAACTACAAAAATGCCTGAATATCTCCTACCACACTCAGAGCCGGCCATGTCTAGTGACATGAACCTGTTCTCCGTACCGGCATCGTTAACGGAACGTTTCAGCTATGAGACACAAGAGTATGGACCAGAGTCGGCGCCTCCGGAAGACTCACCATTAAGCGGTAACCTGTCTTTCTTTATCCCGCCGTCATCCAACGGTCTGCTCTCGCTCACGGATACGTGTTTTGAGTGTGAATTAAGTATAAAGAAAAGAACGCCACAAATGCATGGGTGAACCTAGAGAACAATGATAACGTAGCGCCTGTTAATTATATTGTGCATAGTTTGTTCAAACAAATTCATTTTACTGTGGCGAACAAGGTGATCTCTGACTGTTCACCTTATTATCCCTATCGCGCTATAATGGAGGTTCTAACAAGTTATACTGAAGATGCCATGAAAAGCCAGCTAACGAGCGGCGGATTTTATTTCGACACACCAGGCAAGATGGAACATGCCACAGAGAACACTGGTGAAGCAAAGCGCAAGGAGCTATTTGCTTTAAGTGCTAGCGTTCAGTTATCGGGAAAGATTTTCACGGACTTATGCGTACAATCAAAACCTTTGCTCACAGGCGTGCCCGTGCACGTTAGCCTATACTTTAACAATTCAGAATTTTATTTACGATCATGGAATACTGGTGCGGCGGCTGCAACAGAATACAAGGCATTTATGAAACATCCACGCATAACCGTACGACGCTATATCCCATCACCGGATTTCATGAACGCTATTACACAAAAGTTACAAACAACAACAGCCAAATACCACATTGAACGCGCAGAATTAAAGGCGCGTGCTATTCCTGCTGGCACCCAAACCATAGCCTTTTCTGACCTCAAGTACGGCCAACTACCTAAGGTGGTATTTATTGCTTTTGTGCAATCGGACCGCTTCCATGGCACAACAAGCCTCAATCCGTTTGTATTTGATCATTGTCGCGTTCGTCAAATCTGTATTAATGTGGATGGGAAGCAATACCCAACGATACCCTACATGTGTGACTTTCCAAACAACCGCTATTTAAAGTGTTATGACGGCTTCTTGGATGTTTTGAATCAAAAAACCATCCAGCTGGAGCCCATATTCTGGATCGTCATACATACGCAAAAGGATACACAGTGTTCGCTTTTGACCTGACGCCAACGGCTACAGGCTTAGGGCCCATGACGCTAATTCGATCAGGGACAGTGGGCCTGGAAGTAACTTTGACACACCACTAACTAATGCCTATCAAATGCTGGCTTGGATAACGTGCGACCATTTAATAGAATTCACCAATTTACGCCAGGTTATTTGCGACTTTGCGTCGTAATTAAACAACAAATCGTCACAATGAACGAACAGGAAATTCGGAATATCATGTGGTCACAGTACAACCCCGCTTCGCACATGCTGAGATCGGTGTTTCGCGGCGTTTACGCCCTAGATGAGCTACAGCAGCAGCATCTTACAGAGGTCGACCTACCTGCTGCGTTTATTGTAAACACTGATCCAGCCAGCGAACCCGGAACACATTGGATTGCCGTCTACGTTGAGTGCCCCTCATTTATTGAAGTTTTCGATTCCTACGGCAAACCCGTGGCCTATTATAGTCAGTCACTTGAAAATTTTCTGAAAACGCAACTCATCGGCCAGCCTGCGTCATCACCACCGTTGCCCCTATACGAACAGCGAGCTGTTTTACAACAGCCATTGTCCACTACCTGCGCTCAACACTGCATGTTTTTTATAGTAATGCGATCAGTATGTCGCTTTTCCTATTCCTACATCATTCATAACCTATATCGAATTGATAATCAATTTCAAAACGACTTGATGGTTCGTAACTTTATTAATGACTTTTTCAATGCAAAAACACGTGTTTATAATTTTGAAGCATTCTACTAACAATTAAATTGTAATATTGCCCTCGCAAAATCAGGAGGGTAGGCTGCGCGCACACACCTTTGGTTTTGCAGAGGCCCGCGTGGCAATTAAAATGACAAATCGACTTGGGGCCGCCAACGCGAATCAAAAATATTTACAAATAACATCAGTAATAAATGATTACGAATATACTGAAACTGATGATATAGCGATTAAAATTACCTAAACGAGCTAAGATGATTGCTTGAAAAACCAAACAGGCACACACCACACACATACACAGAAACATTCATACTAGTTCAGTTTGAACTGCTCCTTGAAACGCTGCAGCATTTCAGCACACAGTCGATCTCCGTGCATTACCAGAAATTCGTCCGGCTTGAAGTGGTACGCCTCCAGCAAGTTGCGTTCCGCATTATGATGCGAGTGCGCTGCTTCGTCAGCATAGCGGTACGGCAGTTGCTTGAGAAACAGCCCCAGCAGAGTCTTTTCCACATCCTTACAGACATAGCTTCGCATACGGTCCGTTAGTTGTATACGATCCGAGTAGCGGCATGCAGTATGGCCATCATGAGCTCCAGGTTGCAGCGGATCAGCAAAGGTATCCTCCATAAGGTGGCAAAGCTTGCATTCTTGCGTCAGGCGTTTGCAAAAGCGCTCCATCATAGGCCACGGTAGCTTCTCAAAAATATCCTGGTAGTCGGCTTGGCAGACTTGCATGGTAGGGTACCCGGATCGTCCCTTCAGCACCTCATACGTATGCTTAAGGATGGTTCCGTTGTCCAAAAGTTCACAGAACGCCGTCCAGTTCTTTTCACTACAATTGCAACAACCACAACAACCATAATAATAATATCAATAAGCTAAACGGTTATGAAATAACCAAAAAAATAAGTAAATTTGGGTATTAATTATGCTGCTATCACTAGAACACAACACTCACTTCATCGCAAGTCGTTTCTCACTGGGTGAGCCGATGACCACCTTTGTTCCCGGTTCTTTCAGGCTGTTTGCTTCAAGGTAAACCCGAATGTTGGCAATGGGTACTTCGTCAAGCCTGAGGAGAAGCAACCGCAGAAATATAATAATAATGTGCCATAGAAACAAAAGCACAAGGTTGTTATATGAATGACTTTCTTACCATCCCCAGTTAAAGAAGTAACCTCCGCCCAGGTCATGCATTGCCGTAATGGGTGTAGAGCCTTCGTCATAATTGATCAGTCTTTCCAGTTGTCCACACAGTTGTAAACCCATTAGTTTGGCAAACTGCTTCGCATCTAACTCGACATGCTTGGACGCTAAACTCGGAACCCACTGACCCTCCTGATTTTTATCAAACTCCCCAATAATGTATCGCAAACGGTTGTTCATCAAGTAAACTGCAATGAATTTTTCTCCTCCAAATTTAATTACCGGCCCACCTTCGTACTGAAATGCAACCTGCCCCTGGGTAAACCCACGCCGAGCTAAGCTAACTGCATCGGTTTTGGGCTTATACGAGTCCGCGGTGACCTTACGTTTCTTAGTACCAGTAATAGTTAATGCCCTAACAGGCTGAAGTGATGCCGGAATAGTCGACAACGATGGTGATGACGACAAGGCAGCCAAAAGGTCACTGTTATCACCTGATACACTATCTACGCTTCGCATTGCAGCCATTGCGGTGAAAATTTAAAAATACTCACAAATAACGGTAACACGCTACGATAACGCTTTAAACTCAAAGCAGACAAACAGAATAATGGACAACTAAATCAAAGTGGAGGCAGGAATACGCAAACTCTATGCACTAACATCAGAAACACGAGCCGACCTACTCATTTTATAGCCAACTAAATAGGTTAAAACAGCAGCATGTTTATTCTTGCTTTTGTTTTTAGTCATCGGGTGGACACCCTTTATACAATGCATCAGCTAAAGTACTAGCATTGTTTGCTTCCGTTATCTCGGGCATCGCCTCAAACTCACGTTGGTCAGACGAAAGTCCATAGAAAGCTCCATATAATGCGCCTGCCATGAACGTACGACCATCCGTGTCACCTCCAAGGGCAATGCAGCTCTGGACCATTCGCTTCCAAGGTGACATGATGTTATATCCAGACCACCACTGCAGGTTTCCACCCACGAATGCCATGACCATAGCCAGCGGAACAAAGTCCTGTGCGGCGCGCGAGTTAACATTCGGATACAGTCGGATAATGTCTGCCGGCGAACGCAGTACGCTATGGTTTACGTATAACGCATTGGCAGCTATCATGTTCTCTCCAAATGGTGGTTCGAGAGTTGAAGCATAATCCTCTAGCCGTTTCAAAAAGGTCGTCACTGAAGCTGTGCGGGCGCTATCACACGCTTCCTGTAAACCAAAGGCAAACAGCACAGCTCCATCAATCCCCAAACGATGCGCATGTGTGATGGCTACACACTTCTCGACTTCTCTCCGGAGGAAGCAACTAGGTTCGCGGCAGTAGTACAAAGCCACCGCTGCAGCCATCACTGCTCCGTGATACCCGTGAGAGCCCTGCCCACCGTGCGCACTTCTTGCAGGCCCACAAACGTAAGCTTCGTCATCTCGTCGAAGAGCAAAGTTGCTCTCGCTGCTTGTAGCATTCCATCGCCGATGAAACTCTTTCAATAAACGCTCCATGTGCTTACTACCCCCAAAGTAGTTGGATGATCCTAACGCTTTACCCAGTCCATCGGCTATATAGTCACGCTCGACTGTATAGCAACCTACAGTTACTTCGAGAACCACCAGAGCAACTGTTCCACTAAACCCACAACGCACATAACAAGGATCCTTGGCCACATCAGCACACCGCTCATGAACTTCTCTCAAGGTTGGTAAATGGCTTCTGTAGAAGGGTGTATTGAACAGACGACCAAAGCTGCTGGCAACAACACTCCCCACGAGGCAACCTTTTAACCTATCGTGCAATCCACCTTGCCAGTCACCTTGCCAGATAATGTGCTGAATGGCATCCATTGTTCCGGGCGATGGTGGTGGCGATGTCGATGTTGATGATAAACGAACATTTTCGGGTTCACATCCAGACATGTTCTATCGACTACTATATAAACTGCAGCAAAACTGACAAAACTTCAGTTGCACGTTTCGTTTTCCCTAACTGTTTCTTAGCTGTCTAAATTGCGTCCGTTTATATATCCTGCATTACCATGGACCCTGCTGAGGAAAGGCGTCGAGCGATATGCGTTGTCATTACGATTGCTTTTTTTGGTAGTCTGCTAGCACTTGTTCTGATTTTATCGGGCATTACTTTTGGAACCGTCACCACTTTTCTACCCTATCGGCCATCAGCCGCCGCCAGTATCGACGAAGCCAACACCACCCTGGACTTTACTTTCAATAACGACACAATGCCAACATTCAAGTTCATGATCAAAGGGCTATGGTACGTAACCGTATGGCACAGTAGTAAAGTCATCTAAGATGCGTCGTTTGTCGTACGTCTTTTTGAACCGCTTTGTCATAGGCACATCTTGGATTTCATATGTCCGTTTCTTCCGGCGAATAGTACTACCATATGTGACGGAAAGGGACTCGGGCTGAACGTTACCATGAGCGCTATCGGAGGCGGTCTCATCTTGGAGAGGTTGGGTTGCGATTTTCAACATCGAATCAAAATTCAACACCGTTCCTGTAAGTTTATTAATTTCAAATCCTTTGATTTTACAGACCTCCTGCCCAGATGCCGTAACGTAGCTGTAAGATTTTGGACCAGTACTACAGAAGCGCGTAATGAAGTCGTCCTCGGCCAGCTCATTACTTAACATCCCCAGAGTGGACCCGGTTTCAAACGGCTCATCACCTGGACGCTGAACAAAGATAATGCTGTCCTACAATTTAAAAACTATGTTTTTTCTCGTTTCTTCTAGTTTCATATGCTTTACGCTAATGCTTTAGCTCTTACCGTATCAAAGTATAGTAATCGCTCGCCAGCTCTTTGCATGAATTTCAATAAATGTAATCTTGCGTGTGCCGTTGTAAACCTGACAGCAAAAAATAAGTACAAGTCTAATTTACCTGATTTAAATGAAGCACTAAAACTGAAACTATTATCACTTACGCTGCTAGAACCACGTTCGTTTTCGGGTTAGTCGGAACCATAGCATCCTTCCTCGTGTACATTATTTGTACAACGTCATCCGAAAATACGTCATAATCATGGATTTCGAATTCTGAAGACGTTAAATAGTGCAGAAAATCCTTCACAGTGTTCACGAAAACTGTGCTGAGAAGGTTATTTCTCATTCCCAGCCGGCCCCAAAAGCTGTAAACACCATAGCATAAATTACTAATACTACAACTACTCTTAGTGTATGACCGACACCAAACAAACAAAAAAAATCAAGCACTAACCTGTTCAGGCACAACTTAGCGAGCTGCCGCAGTCCCGGATTCCAGCTTATTTTGGAACCGTCCAACCGGATGCCTTCCGTTTGGAAAAAGTGGTCCAGAAACGCATCTTGCTGCTCTGGAGTTTTAATATCAGCCGGCCAGCCAGAAGCTTGCACTTTAAGCGCCAGGAACAAATCAATATAATCAGCAAAAAAGCGCTCTCTGCTGTCGGGATAGTGCCATACTTCGTGAATTTCCATTAGTTCATAACCATTTTTCACGGCTTCTTGTAGTTCTAGTGTGCACCAAGTCCCCGTCAGAGCTCTTTGCTCCGGATCCTCGTGCGTGCAAACTTGCTGATTCTTTTCTTCAGCGCAGGTGCGGCATAACGTGAAAATCAGTTTATCGAAATGCGCCGGTAATATCGGTATCATCAGGTTGCGAGGCGGTAATATTTTGCAATGCATAATTCCGAAATAGTTATCCAAGGTTTTAAAATTATTAGTAATTCTTTTATGCTTGCCAACCGGATAGCGCTTGTTTTTATTGACATATGGATATTCGGATACAACATCCAAGTACATTATCTTCTCTCCAGGCTTGACCTTATAGTCTAACACTAGGGCATTTACTCGTCCTCCGAACAATGCTTTTCTCGGGTCAAGCGGTTCAACAATCCGTATGTTCTTTATAGCAGTAGCAAAATTAGCGTCGTTTTTAATGCGACTGTCATATTCACATTCCCAAACGCTCACAATATTGATTTTAAGCTTTTTCAACATTCCTTCGCGCCGTACGGTTCGCTCGTACAACTCACCCATTGTGGCGTCCTGATGCGGGTGGCGTGTACTTGGATTCGTGCATATTGGATGGCCATGGTGCACGCACCCATAAAATTCATATGCAGTTCGACTTTCCAGATGGTACCCATCAATGAATAATGCACCAATTTTGAATTCTCGCTCCAGTTCAATACCTTGGCTCTGACTTATACACTGTAACCATGAATTGAGCTTTATTGGAGGATATTCTGTTGCTGGGCATACGAATAACCTCAACTTCCAAAGGCTTTAGCAGCCTGGACCTCCAAAAATAATGACAAACACTTGGAAGGGTTAAACCGGATTGAAAAATACATAGTCCATCCGTAATTTTGAAAAAAGTTCGCGCAGCTGCATTGCACAACAACGTAGCGTGGTCACGTCTTGGTGGCAATAGGCAGCCAGTTCCTTGTTGACGTCATACAATCCTCTTTTAAAGCTTTGTCTTCATTATAGAATTCCATAAATGCATGTTTTTCTTTATCGCTCATAAATCGGTAGTTGAACTTTTCAATGTCCGGATAGTCAATAACTGTGTTCCAAAATTGTGGTCGGTTCAGGACATGTGGAAATTTACCTTTAGTTTCCTCAACGGCGAATGATTTCGCCCAGTTGTCCAATGACAAAGGAACATAATTGAGCGTATCCCGAAAGTTAATGCCAAACTCCCGATCGCGCAGGTGCGTGATTTGGGAACCTTTCATGATAACGTCAGGCGCTTGACCTTTCTGAAGCAGCCATTTTAAAATAAAATAGCCATCGAACCTAGAAAGCCCACCACTTTATCCGTAAGCTGTATACTTTCAACGTATTTCATGTTGTGTGAAACAGAAGAAGAACTAAAATTTCTTACCCTCTAAAGTTATGTGCCAAACAAAAGAATCCAGCATGCTTTTCTTGGAAAATAAATTCACAGACATCGCCTGCAATGTCTTTGCCAATGTTGCTGATGTCCTCGGGAAATTGGCGGGTTTCAATGGGCTTTCCATCTTCTTGCACTTGTATTACACAAAAATTTGGGATGTGCTTTCCACTACCGTCGGGGTACGTCTCGAAATCAAAGTACATGAAACTAGCAGATTTGTGCTTGGCTAATACTTTGTCGTCAAGTTTCTCGGGTTTAATATAGCAGTCATGGTGCTCCGGTAATACATAACACAGGCAAACCGAACAATAAATTTCGCCGCATACATGGTCTGTCCCGTATCCTCGTTTCACGTTCGTCTTTATGAATGCTGAGCAATCTATGCAGACCTTGAATTTTTCGCAAATGCTTTTCTTTTTGTTATGGTTTGTGCTTTTCGCTGTCTTTGCAAGGTGGTGGTTAAAACACTCGTTGTTTCTAAAGCCCGTTCGATTGCATCCCGCACAGTATCGCGCAAAGTTTGCTTCGAGCTCACACCTTTCGCGCAAGCAAAGCTTGCAGGTATATTTACAGCGATGATCACCTTCGTGAGAGTACCCCTGATTACAATGAAAACACCATTTGCTTTTTTCGTACCACCCTTGAAGAGATGTTAAAACGTCAAAATGGTTGGCATAATACAATAGCATTAAGCGTTTTTCCCTGAATTCGCCAGCAAAGATAATGCTGTTAAGCTGTTCCAGTCCAACAATTATGATTTGATAATCGC